TATATAATAGTCTGTGTGTGTGTGTTTGTTATATATGTATATGTATATGTATATATATATATATATATATATATATATACACACACACATATATATATATATGTATATATATATTTATATATCAACATGTGCAAGATTATATACTTATAGACATGCAATATATTCACATATATCTGAGCGTTCAAGTATTCCACATGCTATATCGCAGTATGCAGTACAGAATATGCATCCTACCATAAATCTCCGTATATATAAAATTCCACAAATAAATATATATACGTGAATAGTGTGCTTTCAGAATCGCATATCGCTAGTCCGTATATCCGTTATATTATTAACGTACACATGAATAGTACAATTTAATAACTGTATACATAAAACCTATTCTACATTCGTTTTTAATTATGTGTATTTATGTCGATAAACGAGCAAAAAAAGTTTCCTCTCATTTATTGTGCGTTCAACCCCTCAATCCGTGCATTACTCGACGAGAATATTGATACTAACGACATTCGTATACATTCATACTCATACATGCAAACGCATACAGAAAGGAGAGTGAACGACTTTCGAATATAATCAAATTCCTACCGAGTTGAGAAGGCAGCAAGTACAATAAATCTCAAGGATATGTCTGTCAATTTCCTGTCATAAAAATTTATTCTATGCGCAAATCTGAGAATATTTAACACCTCGGGCTCGCCATAACATTCGAATAGCTCATAGACGAAACGCTGAAGTAAGAACAAATAGAATAAAAATACACAAATCTATCCAAGCAGACTAACTTTGTTTATCGTTTTCCATTCAGATTAACATAGAATAGTATTGCGCTAACATACCTTAGCAAGGACCAACTTGTTCACGAAGAAACAAGCCGTGTGGCCCCAGTAGAAGATCAAAGGATGTCTTAGCGGATCCGGTTTGTAGTAGAATGCAGCATCTTTCACAGTCGCGAATAGCTCCTCATATAAGTTAAAGGTCTGTCAGGGATTGAGAGATATAGTGAGAAAGCTGGACACTTCTCAAACCCTGATGCACTGTTTCTCTTTATATACACATTTTAAAGAATCGCCATTAAAAAATACACAGAAAAGTAGTGGTACTTTTTGGACTGGGCGAGACTGTCGCAACTTGAGCGCGATTGAGACAAAGTCACAAGTCAATTGTCACTCGGAAGGAATCTATGCCACTACGTAGCATTCACTTTTGGAATACGAAAATACGATACTCTTAATGCTTTATACCTTGTGAAAATATTCGCGTATTTGTTCACGCTTGTCTTCTGGTTTGCCATTGAGTAGGTCAATAGTTTTGGCCGTACGAACGCGCAGGAGTTCTTCCTCTGACATTTCCTCTAAGCTAGCAGTTTTATTTTTTTTCAATTTCATCGTGCAAATTAAACGCGAAGTACAGCTCAACCAGTGTACCGTGAAGCAATGGATCAGGTCTACTAGATTATATTAATTCACAGCTACCAGTCTGTACACTAATAATTACATCTACTATTTTCAACACTTCTATCAAAAACTATATGTATATTTATATGAACACGAAGTATTTTATAGCTACTAAAATATATCTATTTATCTATTTATACAGTAGACAGGCAGGCCACAATAGGGGCCGGCAGAGCTTCAATCACAATTCCACATTCGCGTGGAACTTTTAAAAACTCTTTTTATTTATTTGTGTTTGTTTACCGACTATTCATTATTGCCTATCAAGAGAAGGCTATGGATTCTTCCTATGTATTATTTGTGTTTTTTTGTTTTTTTTAAATATTTCGCCTCCGGGCTGTTCTTTGACTTTGCCTTTTTGAGTTTTGAGTTTTCCCCTAGTTCACTATGTAACTATCACTTATATTTGTGGTATTTGGGGGGGATTTTTATTTTTATAAACAAATATGAATATTTACCGCTGTTTTGTTTGCCAAACTTTGCAACGTAATTAGA